AAGTACCTGGCTCCTGACATCGGATCAGCGCGGTGCGCCAGCCGTAGCGCGTTGGCCGCAGCAGCCATTGGAGGGTGAACCAACAGCAAAGGAAGACCTTTCTCTCTGTCTCTCTCTCTCACTGTCCCTCTGCCTGTCAAAAAATAATAATAAAAAAAAAAGACAAGTGTCAAGCAATGAAGCAAAGCAAAAAAATAACCTAAGCTAACCATAATACATAAAATATGAACCAAAATACATAAAACTGAATATGAACGAATCGAAAAGATAAGCCAGATAAGTGCTAACAAAAAACAGGTATGCTAATGTTAATATTAGACAAAACAAAATTAAAAGCAGAAATAAAAAATATTCCTAAAAGATGAAATTCACCAATAAGAAATTGTGAACTTTTTAATCACCTACAAGCCTAGCATCAAAAATATAATGTTTAAAAATATGTATGTGGGGGCTGGCGCCATGGCTCACTTGGCTAATCCTCCGCCTGAGGCGCCAGCATCCCATATGGGCACCGGGTTCTAGTCCCAGCTGCTCCTCTTCCAGTCCAGCTCTCTGCTATGACCCGGGAGGGCACTGGAGAATGGCCCAAGTGTTTGGGCACCGGCACACACTTGGGAGACCAGGAGGAAGCACCTGGCTCCTGGCTTCAGATCGGCGTAGTTCCAGCCGTGGCGGCCATTTGGGGGGTGAACCAATGGAAGGAAGACCTTTCTCTCTGTTTCTCTCTCTCACTGTCAGTAACTCTACCTCTCAAATAAATAAATAAATAAAAGTATGTGCATATACATATATATGAATATGTGTGTACATATAGCTGATAGAAATAGAATTTTAAAAATCCTGCAGGAATCTTAGTGGACAACTAACACAATTGTCACCATCAACATGCCCAATAGAGGAAAAATAAGATGAAGATACAGGGAACACAAATTTAAAAATGAAATAAATATAGAATTTTATATCCAATACACTAAGGGTACAGAGAACAAAGAAACTGACAGTTCATTAGATCATAAATTAATCTGTTTTTTATCTTTATTTCTCTTTAAGCAATGTGGTAAGATAGAGCTTCCAAAACTTTCCAGCTATCCCTTTAATAAATGCTAGAAAAAATACTAAAATCACTTTGAAATCAATGGAAAAGAGAAACACAGTGAAGCCAGAATTCTAGAATGCTGGCAAAATAAAGGCATTTTCAGATACCATGAAAACAGAAATGCAGTCATTACAAAGGAACTTCTAAGATGAGATACTTTAGGGAAAAGGAAAGTAGCTCAAAGAAGTGTAGCCAAGGGGCCGGCGCTGTGGTGTAGCGGGTAAAGCCGCTGCCTGCAGTGCCAGCATCCCATATGGGTGCCGGTTCTAGTCCTTGCTGCTCCACTTCCGATTCAGCTCTCTGCTATGGCCTGGGAAAGCAGTAGAAGATGGTCCAAGTCCTTGGGCCTCTGCACCCGTGTGGGAGACCAGGAAGAAGCTCCTGGATCCTGGCTTTGGATTAGCACAGCTCTGGCCATTGCAGCCATCTGGGGAGTCAATCAGCAGATGGAAGACCTCTCTCTCTCTCTTTGCCTCTCCTATCTGTGTAACTCTGACTTTCAAATAAATAAATAAATAAATCTTTAAAAAAAATGATGAAAACATACCACTGATATATAGTTTACTTTCTCACAGTAGAATATTCTACACATTATACTAGCATCTATTAAATTTTAATAAAGCTAATTGTTTTCTAGAAAAAGAGAAAGTATTAAATTGACTTTGAAAAGAAACAGAAAATCTGAGAAAATGATCAACTGATCATGGGGAAAAAAACTGGAAAGGTAATTAAATACTGACACCCACTTACTAAAAAACACCAGCAGCAGCTCAGGCAGTCTGCAGTCAAGGTCTGCCAAGCTTCAAGGTACAGATAATTCTCCCATTCCACAGCACAGAAAATGATGCAATGCTTCCCAAATCAACCAGTGAGGACAGCACAACTTTACTGAGCTGAGACAAAACAGGGGAGGGGAGGACTATAGGCCAGTTTCACTTACAAGTAGAAACCAGGCCGGCGCTGTGGCATAGTAGGTTAAGCCTCCACCTATGGCACCAGCATCCCATACAGGTGCTGATTTGAGTCCTGGCTGCTCTACTTCCAATCCAGCTCCCTGCTATGGCCTGGGAAAGCAGAGGAAAATGGCCCAAGTCCTTGGGCCCCTGCACCCGCATGGGAGACCTGGAAGAAGCTCCTTTCTCTGGCTTCGGATTGGCGCAGCTCCGGCCATTGCAGCCAATTGGGGAGTGAACCAGTGGATGGAAGACCTCTCTCTCTCTCTCTCTCTCTCTCTGCCTGTCTGTAACTCTGTCTCTCAAATAAATAAATATATCTTTAAAAAAAAAAAAAAAAAGGCCGGCTCCGCGGCTCACTTGGCTAATCCTCGGCCTGCAGCGCCAGTACTCCCGGTTCTAGTTCTGGTTGGGGTGCCGAATTCTGTCCCGGTTGCTCCTCTTCCAGTCCAGCTCTCTGCTGTGGCCCGGGAAGGCAGTGGAGGATGGCCCAAGTCCTTGGGCCCTGCACCCGCATGGGAGACCAAGAGGAAGCACCTGGCTCTTGCTTTGGATCGGCGCAGCTTGCCGGCCGTAGCGGCCATTTGTGGGGTGAACCAACCGAAGGAAGACCTTTCTCTCTGTCTCTCTCTCACTGTCTAACTCTGCCTGTCAAAAATAAATAAATAAATAAAAAGAAAGAAAGAAACCAAACCCTAAGTAAAATGTTGGCTTATTGAATCTCTCAAAACAACCAAGGCAGGATTTTAATGAAATAAAATGTGGCAACATAATCCTTTATGTTAATAATGTTAAGAGGAGGTGCCAGCATTGGGGTGTAGCAGGTTAAGTGACTGATGCCATGCTGACACCCCATGCGAGCACCAGTCCTAGCTGCTCCATTTCTGAGCTAGCTCCCTGCTAATGCACCTGGGAAAGTAGCATAAGATGGTCTCAGTGCTTGGTCCCCTGTACCCACATGGGAGACCCAGATGGAGCTCCTGGCTTCAGCCTGGCACAGTCCTAGCTATTGTCAGTCAGTAAATGAACCCCACCTTTTCTCTCTCTCTAACTCTGCCCTTTAAACAAATCCTTTAAAAAAGATTTTAAGAAGGAAACAGTCATATCAATACATGCTATACAAAAACATTTGGGAAAAAACCAGTACGCATTCTGACTTTTTAAACTCTTAGTCATTAGGCATAAATGGAAACTTACTTAATGTAATAGTGTCTGCCTAGTGAAGATACAGTGGAAATGTCCCCCTACAACCAAAGTCCCAGACCAAAATGTCCTATTCAGCCTGAATAGTCAACACTGCAGAGAGTGTAGGCAGTGGAAGGTAAGAAGAACAAACATGAGAAAGATACCTGTTATGTCTTAACAGACAATAACGTTATCTGCTTGGAAGAGCCAACCTAGTGTTAACAGATACAGAGGGGCTCACATTGTGGCATAACGTGTTAAGCCACTGCGTGCAGCACCGTGTTAAGCCACTGCGTGGAGTACCAGCAGCACATATGGGCACCAATTTGAGAGCCGGCTGCTCCACTTCTGATCCAGCTCCCTGGTAATGCACCTGGGAAAGCTTCAGAGGCTGGCCCAAGTGCTTGGTCCCCTGCATCCACGTGGGAGACCCAGAGGAAGCTCCTGGCCCAGCCTTGGCCCTTTTGGGCATTTGGAGAGTGAACCAGCAGATAGAAGACCTCTCTTTATCTCCCTCTCTCTCTCTGCAACTCTGCCTTTCAAATGAATAATGAAATACATATTTCCAAAAAAAAAAAATCACACACACACACACACAGATACAGAGTTTAAGGAGGCGCAGCGTCAGAGCTAGTTTTGGCTACCAAATGAAACCTGTTTGTTGTGAGGCTGTCTTGGCCAAGCTATCTTCTGCAGAGTAAGGCATTGGGATTGACAAGCTCGTGTCCCCACCTCTCTCCCTCTTAAACGCCGAAACAGCCCGGTGTTTGAAGCTGGATAACCAAATCTTCTGAACCCCAAAACCGCTCTGAAGGGCCGAGTGGTGACTCCGCTCCAAAACATTTTATCTCTTGCCACCAGCTGCTGCAATGACGGATGGATACACATGTCAACCAGCCCAACATAATTCTTCCGGTAGAGGGCAAAGGAGAGCACCTTCGCCGACTGTTTTATTATTATTTTTTCTTTATTTTTTCCCCAAACCGTACGCTGCTGATTATATAAACTTGAGGACTGGCGAATGGAGCTCCCGCAAAATAAAAATATGCTATTCGGTGTCAAACGTCAAACTAGCCTTAACACACACACTCCCAAAGCACACCAACCAAGCTGATGTCCAAGATATTTGGCTGTTACAGCTGCACTCCCAGCGCCCGCTCTCCCGGAACGCCCCCTCTTTCCCCGCCGCCCCGCCGGGGACCGCCAGGTGCACCGCGCTGCGTGGACGCGGGAGACGCACAACCCGCGCCCTTCCGCGGTCACCACACGGCAAGGAGCTGCACCGGCGGACAACGAAGAGGGCCAGGGGCTTCTCGGTCCCTTGGACACCACACAGTACTCCGGGGCAGCACCACGGAGGCGGGGAAGGCTCCCCGGGCTGCAGGAGCCCGGGCCGGGGGCGCCCACGCACCTGTCCCACCACAGCGAGCCCTCGGGGGAGCGCCTCCCAAGGGCCGCAGTCGTCCGGAGCCCCCGCGCTCCTACGCCAAACCCCCGGGGCACGGAGGAGAGGGGGCGGCCACCTGCCGCGGCCACCTGCGGCACGGGTCCTGCCGCTCCTGGGCAGGGCTGGGCTGGGCTGGACAGGGCAGGACCGGGGTCACACCGCGGCGACGACGCTGTAACAGCCAGCACATCTTCCCAGAGACGGACAGTCCTGCGCCCCGCGTCAGGACTGCAAAACCCCCTCGCTCGCCGACCCGGCCTCCGCAGAGGATGCGGCTGAGGCGTAGAGGAGTGCGGACGCCCGCGCGGCTGCTACTCACCGGCCCCCTCAGCTCCCTGTCGGCTCTGGTGGCGCCGCCGCAGCCCGCAGTCGCCGCGGCTCCGCGCTCGCACAGATGCTCCGAAAGGTCCCAGCGGTCCCACCGGCGCCTTCCGCCAGCAACCTCCAGGGGGCGAGCGCGAGCCGGCGCAGGGCTTCCTGGGAGTTGTAGTCCTAGCGTCTCTACATCTCCCGGCTCTGCCGCCTCCATCCTCTTGCCGGTGGTGGGCATTTCTTTAGACTTCAAGGGCTCATTACCCTTCCCTCCCCCAGCGTTGGCACGTCCCAAATCGAGGCCTGGGCTCCCTCTCGCCCCAAAATGTGGCGTGGGGACCAGCAGCTTCAACATCAACCTGGGACCGCAATAAAGATGCAAATTCTCAGTCTCACCAAAATTGACCATGGGGTCTTGCATTCCCTCATGTCCTCAAGTTTAAGAACTACTACTCCCCAGAGCTCTCCTCTTTGCAGCACCTGTGACAACAGGTGATACACACACATACCTATGTGTGGAATACCTGTGTATTCCCAGGTGCACTGCTGGACACCCCGACTGTTAGCTCCCAGCCCAGACCTCACTGCGGCCCTCCCCCAGTTCCCAGAGGGATGGTGTATGGAGGAGAGGCCTTTGTGAAATGGTGAGGTGCTGGAGGTGGAGATTAGTGTCCTTATGAAAGGGACCCCGTGGGCTGGAGTTGTGACACAGCAGAATCTGCCGTTGGCCATGCTGGCCATGCTGGCTTCCCATGAGAGCCAGTTACAGTCCCAGCTGCTCCACCTCTGAGCCAGCTCCCTGCTAATACACCTGGGAAAGCATCCGAGGATGGTCAGAGGGCTTGGGCTCCTGCACCCACATGGGAGACTCAGATGGAGCTCCAGGCTCCTGGCTTCAGCCTGGCCCAGCCCCCACCATTGCAGCCATTTGGGGCGTGAGCCAGCAGATGGAAAACTGCCTCTCTCTCTCTCTCTCTCTCTCTGGCTCCGCCTTTCAAGTAAATAAATTATATTTTAAAAAAATGGGCAGGGGTGGTTATCCAAAGAGTTCCCTTGCCCCTTCTGAAGACACAACAAGTCACCATCAATGAATCAGGAAATGACCCCTCATCAGATGGCTGGCTGAATTGGCCTCAGGCTTGGTCTCAGCCCACACTATTGTGACAAATTAGTTTAGACTGTTGAGGGGTCGGCGCTGTGGCATAACAGGTAAAAGCCACAGCCTACAAAGCTGGCACCCATATGGGCACCAGTTCAAGTCCCAGCTGCTCTGCTTGCAATCCAGCTCCTTGCTTTGTGCCTGGGAAAGCAACAGAAGATGGTCCAAGTGCTTGGGCCCCTGCACCCATGTGGGAGACCCAGAAGAAGCTCCTGGATTTGGCCTGGCCCAGCTTTGGCAGTTGTGGCCATTTGGGGGGTAAACCAGTGGGCGGAAGACCTCTCTTTCTGTCTCTCTAACTCTACCTTTCACATAAATCTTAGAATTTTTTAAAAATTGTTTTGACTATTGACGCCTTCCAGCCTATGGTGCGGCAGCACCCAGACAGATGGCCAGTGTTGGGTGGCGGCAGGGCCACTGAGTACCTTTGGGTGCCTCGTGCAGTGCCCACAGCAGGCCTGAATAGAGGAGTGAAATGAACGGAAAGGCCACAGCCGTGTGGGGAGCGATGATAAGATGAAATGATTGAAGCCTTAGCAGGACTTCTGACAGGAGCGTGGAGGAGGCCTGGTCTGGCCCTTTAGAAAACAGCAGAGTCCTGCAGCACTGTAGCATAGTGGACGAAGCCACCGCCTTTGATGCCAGCATCCCATATGGGCACCAGTTCGAGTCCTGGCTGCTCCACTTCCGATCCATCTTCCTGCTAATGTGTCTGGGAAAGCAGTGGAGGATGGCCCAGGTCCTTGGGTCCCTGCACCCATGTGGGAGACCTGAAAGAAGCTCCTGGCTCCTGGCTTTGGTCTAGCCCCGGCCACTGTGGCCATTTATAGAGTTAACAAAGTAGATGAAGGATCTCTCTCTCTCTTCCTCTCTCTCTCTTCCTCTCTCTCTCTGCCTCTCAAATAAATAAATAGTTGCAAAAAATGAAAACTGAGCCTGAAGACCTGAACATTTGCCTCATTCCACAGGGTCAAGGCTGGGAAGACATCAATCCTGGTCGTTACAGCCTCAGCAAAGCCTGTGGCGTCAAGTTTTCTAATACTAAAATAAGAGTGTTGAGACCTCATTATAATAAATTCCTAATAAAAATCCAATTTGTTCCTGGAATAAACTGACTTGTCATGTTATCATCTTTTTAAAGCATACTGCTTGATCTCTTTGCTATAATATTTTAGGTAGAGTTTTATATATTGATGCTTAAAAGTGAGAGTGGGTGATAATTTTCTTTTTGAATGTGTAATTTTCAGTTTCAGAATCAATGCTATGCTTGTGTCATAAAGAATTTGGAAGCTTTTGCACTTTCCTCTTACTCCGTAACAATTTAAAGCAATTCATATCTATATCTAAATATGTTTAGATACAGCTATATATTAGATTACATATATCCATATAATTAGATATATATTTAGATATATTTATGAAATGCTTTACATGTAGCCCATAAGTTTTATTTATTTTTAAAGATTTATTTTATTTTATTTAAAAAATTATTTTATTTATTTGAAAGAGAGAGTTACAGAGAGAGGTAGAGATAGAGAAAGAGGTCTTCCATCTGCGGGTTCACTCCGCAAAAGGCTGCAGTGGCCAGAGTTGCATCGATCCGAAGCCGGGAGCCAGGAGCTTCCTCCCAGTCTCCCATGTGGGTGCATGGGCCCAAGCACTTCCACTGCTTTCCTGGGTCATAACAAGGAGTTGGATCGAAAGAGGAGCAGCCAGGACATGAACCGCACTCATATGGGATGCTGGTACTGCAGGCCACGGCTTTAACCTGCTGTGTCACAATGCTGGCCCCAAAGATTTATTTTATTTATTTGAGAGGCAGAGTTACAGATAGAGAGAGAAAGAGACAGAGAGAGGTCTTCCATCAGCTGGTTCACTCCCCAAATGGCCTCAATGGCCAGAGCTTGGCCAATCTGAAGCCAAGAGCCAGGAGCTTCTTCCGGATGTCCCATGTGGGTGCAGGGGCCCAAGGATTTGGGCCATCTTCTGTTTTCCCAGGCCATAGCAGAGAGCTTGGACTTGAACCATTACCCATATGGGATGCCAGCACTACAGGCAGAGGCTTAACCACTATGCCACTGTGCCAGTCCCTAATTTTTGAATTTATTTATTTGAAAGGCACAGAGTGAGACAGGCAGACAGACAGAGATCTCCCACCTGCTGGTTCATTCCCCAAATTTCTGCAACAGCCAAAGCTGGGCCAGTCCAAAGCCAGGATCCCAGAACACCATCCAGGCATCCCACGTGAGAGGCAGGATCCAAGCAGCTGTCACCTGCTGCCTCCCACAGTGTGCGTTAGCAGGAAGCTGGAGTCAGAAGCAGAAATGGGACTCCCATCCCAGCATTCCAATATGGAATACAGGCACTTCAAATGGCGTCTTCACCACTGTGTCAAAATTTAAAGTATTTTCATTACTGCTATTTTATAGATACTCAAATATTGGTTTTGATTTATTGACATAGAGTTTTTAGGTTTGAAGTGGGAGAACGAAAGTTTTTAAATGTATAAGTGTTAGGTTCTTTTATTTCTGACTTTGTGATTAATTTTCTATTTTATTTCATTGTGATAAAAGACCCAAGATTAAAATGATCTGTATCTGTTTTTCCTTGTGAAATATTTGAGTTTGTCTTTGTGACCTCAAATAGCATAAGTTTTTGTGTTTTACAGGCACACGAGGGGAATGTGAACTCTTTATATTCAACCCATTTTGATATGCATCAAAGAAACATAATTTAGCAGTGATGTTATTTTGATCTCTCTTTCCTTAGCTGTATTTCTACCTGATATAATCTGAAAAGGGTAAATTAAAATCTGCTCTTTGTGACTACTATATGTTTTTATTTCTTTGTATTTCTCTAGAATTTTGCCTTATAAACAATGATGTCATATTATTTTTACAAGAATATTCGTTTGGCACCTTATTGGGCATTGCTCCTTTTCATTATAAAATAAACTTCCTTGTGGCCGGCGCTGTGGCTTAGCGGGTAAAGCTGCTGCCTGCAGTATTGGCATCCCATATGGGTGCCAGTTTGAGTCCCTGCTGCTCCACTTCTGATCCAGCTCTCTGCTATGGCCTGGGAAAAACAGTAGAAGATGGTCCAAGTCATTAGGCCCTGCACCCACATGGGAAACCTGGAAGAAGCTCCTGGCTCCAGGCTCCAGATCGGTTTCAGCTCTGGCCATTGTGGCCATTTGGGGAATGATGGAAGATCTCTGTCTCTGTCTCTCTGTCTGCTTCTACCTCTCTGTAATTCTGCCTTTCAAATAAATTAATAATTCTTTAAAAAAAAAAACCTTCTTTATATCCTTTGATTTTTTTTTAACCTTGTTTGGTAATATAACAAGCCTGCTGATTTTTTTTTTTTTTGCATTAGCCTGATACACCTTTGCAATTTTATTTTCCTCTTTTCTAAAGCCTTTAGGTAAATCATTTGGATGACGACACCAAATTTTGCTTTGTGACTCAGTCTGAATATCTTTTTTCTGGGAATAAGTGGGTTTAGATCTACTCATGACAGTTAGGTCATGTTTATTTCATGCTGTTTTCATAGCCTTTATATTCCTTGTTTACTCTTATGATATACTTTGTGTTGCTCTGCTTTGTGTTTCTTTTAATACTTTGGAAAGTTTATATTTTTTCAAGGGGTTGCCTTCAAAAGAAATAACAATTTTTTAAAAAAAATTTATTAATCTATTTGAAAGACAGAGTTACAAAGAGAGGGAGAGGGAGAGTCAGAGAGAGATCTTCCAAACTCTGGTTCACTCCCCAAATGGCCACAATGGCCAGAGCTGGGCAGGTCTGAAGCCAGGAGCTGGGAACTTCTTCCAGGCATCTCACGTAGGCGCAGGGGCCCAAGCACTTGGGCCATCCTCCACTGCTTTCCCAAGCACATTAGCAGGGAACTGGATCAGAAGAGGAGCAGCCAAGTCTTGAACCTGTGCCCATATGGGATGCCAGCACTGCAGGCAGC